TGTTGTTGTCTCCAGGGCTCTAGTATGTCCCTTAGTGTACTTTGGTAAATCAAGGGACTTAATACAAAACCTTGTGGGAGGCAATTCCAAACATACCTATGGCCTGGACCTTGATAATTAACCTTTGGGATAGTAAAGGCCTGAAGTCCTTATCCAGAGGGATGGTAAAATAAGCATCCCCTATATCCAAAACAGTAACCTGGTTTCTTCTTTGTAATCCTCCAGGGTGTGGAATACCTAATTGAACTTCTCTTCCCTTATCTACTAATTTATTAAGTTCTCTAAAATCTATTAACATTCGCCATTTGCATGATTTCTTCCTTATCACAAATATTGGGGTGTTCCAGGGATTATCTGGGTCTGCTGGAGATATCTTCCCTTCCTCTAGTAGTCTTTTTGTTATTTCCTTAATTCCTTCTAATTTTTCTTTGGTTAAAGGCCATTGGGGAATCAAGGGACCTTTATTAGGATCTTTCATTTTTATCTTTATTGGGGTAATTTGGGTAGAGAGTTGTGCCATAATTAGGGCTACCCCTAACTTTGTTAAGATATCCCTTCCAAATATATTGATGGGAATATCTGGGGATATTAGAATGGATGTCTTCGTCTTCCTTCCTTTTTTGTCTTTCAGCGTAACCTGTGATATTTTTTGTAATTTAGAGCACCCTCCCACCCCCTCTATATTTTGCCATCCTTCTGTTATCCCTTCTTTTATTCCTTTAACCTCTTGTTCACTTATTATAGTTAAATCAGCCCCTGTGTCTAACAGCCCTATTATATCTTCCCCCCCTAGGTTTACCTTTAAGGTAGGTCTTTGTTTTAATCCTATTTTGGTAGTTTCGGATAGATCCCTGTCGCAGGGGCTTCCGTCTGTGTTTCCCCCAGGGGTGGGGCAGATGGCGGGATAGATGACTGGATATTCTGGGCAGATGCCATCATGGTCCGGGGGGCATTGCCCCCCGCTTTCCCGGTTTTTGGCTGTCCACATACTTTTGCCATATGTCCTATTCTCCCACAATTATAGCATTTTAGCGGAGTTTTTTCTCCACTCCTACAATTTCTTGCCATATGCCCCTTTTTTCCACATCTGTAACAAGTTCCCTGAAAACTTCTTGACCCTTGCTGTTTATCTCCAGCCTTTAAGGCTTCTGCCAGCATGGCCATCTTATAGGAGGTGGACCCAAATTCTCTACAGGCATACATTTTTTCTTCTAACGAGTCTCCTGGTCTTAAATTTCTAAGCAGGGCTGGTGCTGCGGCTCACTAGGCTAATCCTCTGCCTTGCGGCGCCGGCACACCGGGTTCTAGTCCCGGTCGGGGCGCCGGATTCTGTCCCGGTTGCCCCTCTTCCAGGCCAGCTCTCTGCTGTGGCCAGGGAGTGCAGTGGAGGATGGCCCAAGTGCTTGGGCCCTGCACCCCATGGGAGACCAGGAAAAGCACCTGGCTCCTGCCATCGGATCAGCGTGGTGCGCCGGCCGCGGCGCGCCGGCCGCGGCGGCCATTGGAGGGTGAACCACCGGCAAAGGAAGACCTTTCTCTCTGTCTCTCTCTCTCACTGTCCACTCTGCCTGTCCAAAAAAAAAAAAAATTTCTAAGCAACTTTTTACATTCTTCATTAGCATTTTGAAGGCTCATGGTATCCTTTAAATATGTTCTCAAATCCTCTCTAGATGTCTCCATATCAATCTGAGTAAAGAATCGATTAATAAACTCAGGGTAGGGTTCTTTGGGCCCTTGTCTGATGCTGACTGCTTTAGGGGCCCCACTGATAGTTCTCTGGCATTCTTGAAGCGCCTCAAGAACCCATGTTCTATAGAGGGTTCTGGCATCAGCAAATCTAGGGCCAGCTGCTTCTTCTGGTGATAATCCAATTCCCTTAATTTGATCTGATGTTAGTGGCACTGGTCCAGCCGCGTCGGCTGGGGGAGGGGGATGCATCTCATCCCATGCTATCGCCTTCTCTTTTATCTTATCTATGACTAGCTGTTTCTCTGCCGCAAAGCCAGGAGTTACATTCAGTAGCATATTGATGTGTCTACCGATGTACAGTTTACTGAAATTACTGCAAAATAAGTGATGGTAGCCGGGTGCATGAGACCGTGTTCCTGAACTTGTTTAAGCCAAGCAGCTATTAGTCCAGGTCCCACAGGCTCATATTCTCATCTACCACCTCTTAACATTATCGGGTACGCTGACTGTTCTTTTGCTTTTTCTTCCTTGCTTAGCTCTCTGGGAACAACCTGAGGTTTTTGCCTACAATTCTGCTATGGCGTCGTAGAGCTTACAGGCGTCTCCTGTATTTTTTGGATTTAATCCCTTGCCACAACAAATTAACACCTTAAGGGTGTCTACTGCACATTTATAATCTCTTCCCTGTGGCGCCTTCTCCTTTTTGTAGAAATTCCACCAGGAGGTTTTCTGCCTCTTCCAAGGTCTGCAGATCTTGGAGGTCCCGTCCTATACAAGCTGCTGCCAGATTACAAGCCCATGTACATTTCCTGGTGAGTAGCACTTCACTTTCTTGCCTCTTGGTGCCTGGCCTGGAAGGACCTTCACCTTCTCTATACTCACTAGTGCCTGCCTATATTCTTTTAACTGGGACGTCCCACCCATCGTGGTCTCTTTCAACCACCACTACTCACCCTTTTGACAATTCCTCAAGGGCTCGTCTCCTCACCACCGTCTGACTTCAGGTCCCTGTTCGGGCGCCAGCTGTCAGGATCTCCCCACTTCGGGAACTGGCCAGGTTACCGCGAAGGAAGAGTCGAGGAGACTGAGGAAGGTCAAACTAAACACACTTTATTGATACTCTAGGCGACTAGGAGGAGAGATCGCTCAAGCCTACTCCTGCGGGCACTAGGCACTACCGACCAGGAGCTTCTCCCCGCGTGCACTAGGCACTACGGACCAGGGAGAGAGGCTGAGCAACCTCTGGTTTACAGTGTCTGAGGGTCCCCTTATATACAGTTTCTAGAGGCTAGCCCCGACCACATTCTGACCCCCCAGGGTCCCGTCATCATGGCAACAACAGTTTGTGGTTAGGCCATCTAGTTAGGCTGTCCACTTTCAAATCTTACCAACTAGGGTGGCTACTACTTTACTTTTCCTTCAAGCTGCTCGAGTGCACAGTTACTTTTTTTCAAAGGGTGCTACAGTTACTTTGTTTCAAACTGTGCTTGTTTCAAACCCACTACAATTACTTTCTCCATGAATGGTTCCCTAACACCTCCTATTGGCCCTGCTTTTCTGGACAATCCTGATTAATACATGGGGATAGACAAGGCTGATAGTAGTCTAGAAAAAAAAAAAAAAAAAGAACAATTGCTTCCCTGAGGACATTCAAACAACTAAGAAGGAAGATGGTTAAGACTCTTCCGGAGGAGTAAAATCTATTGTCATTGACAGTATCTTCTGGGCTGTTTGTTACTCTTCTACCAAAGTGTATGGGAAACAATTATACCCATGATTAAACATCTACCAAAGTGAAAGGAGAAAGTAAAGAATTATCACTTGATTGGAAGTTAAAATTCATAATGGATCATTGAATTTTGGGAGAAATTCTAAGGATTTTTATATTGAGTTGTGTATGTACAAATATACACAGTGGAAAATTCAGTGTCAGTACATTTACAGTGTTATGCAACTACCACTTCTGCTGATTTTTGAAACATTTTTATCACCTTCAAATAAAATCCCATGGGCATTCAAAACTTACTTCCTCTTCCCCTCCTCTTTCAACCCCTAGTGACCACAAATCTACTTTCTACTTCTGTCTGAGTATACTTTCAAATGTTTGGGATGAAATGGAATTAAAAGACAAGTTTATTTTGATGCCAAACTATTTTGAAGTCATCCATAACTTTTTCATAATATGAATTTTCCAAGACGATTTTGAAGATCTCTCTCATTTGCCTATTTTCTAACTTTGATACAGTGTTATAGAAGGTGACCCTTGGTGTCTTTGACATTGCTTGATGTTTTCAAGGTTCATCCATGTTGTGGCGTATGTAAGTATTTCATTACTTTTATGGCTGAGTATTATTCAATATATACCTCTGTTGAATTTTTAAAATCTATTGACCTGCTGATAAAGATTTGTTTTTAACTATTTTGTATAGTTCTGCTATGAACAATTGTGTACAATATTTGTTGGACTATTTTCAGATCTTTTGAATATATACTTAGAACTGGAAGTGTTGTGCTGTGGAATAATTCTGTGGTTTATTTAAAAAAATTAATTTATTTGATAACTCCCATCTGTTAGTTAACTCCTTAAGCGCCTATCATGGTTGTGTCTGGACCAGAGACAGAGCCAGGAGTCAAGGACCAATCTAGTTCCCAGCGTTTTATTTTTTTCCTAACCCAGCTCCAGTTGTTGTAGGCATCCAGTGCGTGGGAAAGTTCTCTTTGCCAGTCTATTTCTCTGTCTCTCTCTCTCTCTCTCTCTCTTTCAAATAGAAAAATGAAAGTAAAAATCAGTTTAAACCCATTGCCCAGTTTTTATAGTCCTATTTAGAGTTTGCCTATTTTTTGATGACCTTTTATTATTTTGAGTTGTAAGCGTTCTTTTGCTATTCTGGATACTTAGCCCTTTGTTAAAGACATGATATGAAAATATATTGTCCCATTTTGTAACTTAGTTTTTAGTTTTTTTCCATAATGTTCTTTGATATATGAAAGTGTTTTTAATTTTACCAAAGTCCAGTATAAACCACTTTATCTTTTGTTATGTGCACCATTTGTTGAAGAGACTGTTCTTTCTCCATTTAGTGGTCTGGCACCCTGGTTAAAAATCAGTTGATAATAAATGCATAGGTTTATCCCTTTACTCTCAATTCTATTCCAGTTATTTGTGTATTTTGAAAATAAGACTTTGTATGTAATAATTTTATAATCTTGAAAGCAAAATTATTCTGATTGTAACAGCCTGAAACTTTGTGAGAATGTTTCTTTATTTATTTCTTTTTATTTTTTTTAAGGATTTTTCTTCACCTCCTTGGGCAGGGCATTCACCCAGTGGCACTTGCGGAGCTGGTTTATGGCCACAGTACCAGAAGGGACATCAGCCAGGGCCTCCTCGTTCCTGTGGGCTTCCCAAATAGAAGCAAGCTCTTCTATGTGTGAGTGACGCTACACGTTATTGAATGTTCAGTCTCTGAGGAGCTGACAGCCTCCTTCCTTTGACGATCTCAAATCCTCATCCCCACAGGCCCACCGGGCCCAGTCTACTGGCCACGTCGCCGTGCCTTTTGTGTGGGTGCTGCTGCTTGCACATCTTTTGGCCCTGTAGCTTAATGCAGGGAAGTGGGCACAGCCGCGTCAATAGCTGGCAGAAGCGTCCCAGGCGAATGGGCTTCTCAGAGAGGTCCAGCCAGAGGGCAGATGTGGGGCAGGCTCAGGGACGAGACCAGGTTCAGGATCAGGTTGGAGCCTGGGTTCAGGAACCTGGGGTCCGTCTCTCTGGGAGCCACCACATCCCGGGCAGCAGGTGCCACGAGGTCATGCTCATGGCTGCATTTTTCAAGCAACATCCCGTTGTCAAGAAAGCGTGTGCTGGCATGCTATATAGTGGAGGAAATATTTGCTTCCATACCCTGTTGCGTACCAGCCTTGTACACAAATTTTGGACTGAGTGCTTGTTAAGAGGAGTCACAGTAGGTGACAATGAAGGGCACTGTGCCAGAGGCAGCGGGTGATTAAAGCTGTCCAGGCAGGGCTAGTGCTTTGGGATGAGGAGCACAACAGAAGGGGCCAAGAGGCAGAGCAGCCAGAACGACCCCAGGCCCAGCCTTTCTAATGCATTGGGGCCATCCTGCCACTGGCTGCACTAAGTAGCCCACCTCTGGGAGGCCTGAGGGGCCGATGTGTCAGGGCTCATTCAATCGTTCAACCTGGGCTTGGGCTCTGTGGGCTCCTTCCCACTTTATCCAGCATTTAGCTTGGCCCCGGGGACCCTGGGTAGACGGCTTTGGGAACCGTGGCTGCTGGAGGGCTGGGCCTGGTCAAAGCTGGTGTCAAACCTTGGTGTCACTGGAACCTGGCAGGGAGAGCAGACCTGATGCTGGGCATTCGGAGCCATTGCCCTGGCCGTGTTCAGGAGGGCCTTGGGTCACTCCGCCTCTTATGCATGTTGGGTGCCGTGACTGGAGGTGTCCTCCCAGAGTCACAAGAGTTTGCCCACTGCTAGAGGAATTCTCTACCCTCATGGCCCTGGCTGGCTTGACACCTGGATGAGAAATCCACTTTGATCCGCTGCCTCCTCCTGCTTCTCCTCCTTGCCTGCCTCCTCTTGAGGCAGGTCTATGGCCCTGGCCAGAGTGTGCAGGGAGCAGGGTGCAGGGTGGTGGGGGAGGCTTTCCTGCCTGGCCTTGTCTGTTGGCCACATCGGTGCACATATTTGTTGGCACCGGCACTTGCACGGCTTGTACATCTTTTAGCAGTACAGTGGGCCCTGCAGGGTCAAGAAAGGGCGGAAGTGACCCTGGGTATGGGGCTTCTCGGTGGGGTCCAGAAGGGGACAGAGGTGGAGGCAGGATCGGGAACGAGACCAGGTTCAGGTTCAGGTTGGAGCCTGGGTTCAGTAACATGGGGTGGGTCAGTCTCAGTCTGGGAGCTGCCATATCCCAGGCAGCAGGTGCCGCGAGGCCATCGTCATGGCTGCCTTTTTTTTTTTTTTTTTTGAAGATGACCGACTTGGAAGTGTGGCTCCCCCGCTCGCGGAGGAGCGACACCAGACCCTGCGCTGTTCTCTTTCCCCGGCCCTTCCCGGGTTTGCTGCCGCTCCCCCACCTCCGCGGAGGGGTGGCACCAGCGAGCTCTCCAACGGACTCTCTCAGGGGGGCGCAGCCGCGCATGTTGTCTCTCTCCCCTTTTAAGGGGTTGGGCCAGGAATCAGCTAATTAACGAAGCAGCTGTGTAAGATTTGTTACTCTCTCTCAGTGCCATATGATGGGAAATCAGATGCATAGAGTCAGCCTTAATAGTCTCAGTGGTCTAGCCTAGTCTCGGAAGTCTCAGTACTTATTTCGCCATGTTGCGGGAGACAGGCCCTGCTCCCCACAGGAAGGATGGCAGCTTCCTTCAAATGAGTGTTGCCACCACCTCACACAGGGTGTCCACCCAGTGAGAGTGGTGTAGATGGTTTCTTGCCACAGTACTGGAAAGAGGATCAGCAAGGGCACTCTCATTCCTGTGGGCCTCCCAGCTAGAAGAAAAGTCTTCCATTTGAGAAATGACCACGGTCATGGCAAAAGCTCTTCTGTCTCTGAGGAGCTAACCACACTCCTCCTGAACGTGAAAGAGCCTAATTGATGTCCAGGTCCTCATCGGATGCCTAGTTTTCTGGCCTTGCCTCTTGCTGTTCAAAGGCAGGTCCCTCGGTGTCACTGGGCTCTGGCAGGGAGAGCAGACCTGATGCTGGTTTTCCAGAGCCATTGCCCTGGCCATGCTCAGGAGGGCCCTGGGCCTTTCCGCCTCCAATGTACATTGGAGGCTGGCTGGAGTTGTCTTCCCAGAGTCCCAAGAGATGTCTTCCTCTGTCCTCATGGTCCTTGTTGTCTTGACCTTGTTGTCTTGGCATGGACAGGAGAGTCCACTTTTATCTACTGTCTCCTCCTGCTTCTCCTCCTTGTCTGCCTCCTCTTAGGGCAGCTCGATGACCCTGGTCAGAGTCTTTGGGGTGCAGTCTTTGGCGGAGGCTTGCCTGCCTGGCCTTGTCTGTTGGCCACACCGGTGCACATATCCTATTTGTGCCGGCACTTGCAGAGCTTGTACACCTGCTTCTTGGAACAGTACAGTGGGCCCAGCAGGGTCAAGAACGGGTGGTACCGACCCTGGGTATGGGGCTTCTCAGTGGGGTTCAGCAGGAACAGAACCTGGAGCAGCCTCGGGAATGAGACCAGGAGCAGGGTCAGGTTGGGGCCTGGGTGCAGGAACCCAAGTTCAGTCTCTCTGGGAGCCGCCGCACCCCGGGCAGCAGGTGCCACAACGTTAGGGTCATTGCTGTGTTTTTAAGCAATTTCCTGTTTTCAGGAAAGTATGTACTGCTTTCCTAGATAGTGGAGGAAATGCTTGCATCCATGGCCTGTGGCGCACGAGCCTTGTGCTGAACACTGGACTGAATGCCTGTGAAGACATGTCATAGCAGGTGACAATGATGGGTGCTGTGACAAAGGCAGACATTGTCTGCAGCTCTCCAGGCAGGGCTATGGGTTTGGGGGGCTGAGGGACACAGCAGAAAGCACCAAAAGGTGAAGCACCAGCCTCATTCAAATGAGTGTTGCCCCTGCCCACTTGGTCAGCAGCCTTGCAGAGGTACTGGCTGCTAGGGTGTGGGGACTGCAAGAGACATTTTGGGATGGCTGTAAATTCAGAAGAATTGATGAGAGTCTCTTTGTTCCTGCCCATTAGTGTGCTAAAGTCAGACTGAAGAGCAGTTTCAGGGCTAAAGGGATGGGTCAATTTAGGTGGGAATCCAGAGTGTAAGCTGGCTGGTGCCTTGTGTCTCTTCATGGGGTCTCTGAACCACACTTTCGTGGACAGGGGAGAGGGGACAGTGCTCCCGTTGAACAGCCAAAGTGACTCCATTTCAAAAGAATAAAAAAAGCAGCCTCTGTTTCCCATAGCAGACCCTAGTCCTTGTAAAAGCAGGCATTCAGGCATTCCGGAGGTATCAAATCTTACCAGGGACAGCTAGCTCGGTAGACCAAGGATAGCACAGTAGAGATTGCTAAACAAAGTAACTCCCTGTACCCAACGCTCCCGTGCTGTAAGCCCCCGCTGTAACTCCCTGTACCCATAGCTTCCATGCTGTATGTAACTCTTTTTTCCTGCTGATGTAGCCCTTTTTTCCTTTAAGAACTCTCCCAAACAAAGACCGGGGCCTCACTCCTTCCTCTGCTGCATTGGTTGGTTGGATGGGGTTCCTGTGGTGCTTGTACTCCCAAATAAACTTTGCTTTTATAGTTCCTGGTGATCAACTCTCTGGGTGTCTCTGCGGGGATCTAACGATCTGGGCACAACACCATGGGAGCAGAGAGGGGAGCTGACAACAACAGCATTAAAAGTTGGGGGGAGGTGGTGGCCATGTCCCTGTACCTAAGGTCTCGAATGAGCTGAAAGGTCAAGTTTGCAGGTCCACTGCCTGTGATAAGTGCCCGGTTTAAAAGAAGTCACCAAGCCCTGTTACACCTTCAGCTCTGCATTTAACAGCGTGTTCTCTGGGCAGAGCTCCAGGCTGCCTCAGCCTTCTGAGCCTTCAGGAGGGCAGCGAAATGCATGAGGCTGTTGTCCCAGGCCCAAGATACAAATCATAGGAATCCTGCTAGGTCTTCACCATACTCAAGCGCTGGGATTGCTGCCTCTTCAGTTTCCCCACCCCTCTCCTCAGCTTCTCTCCCCTTTCCTTTTCTCTCTCAAAGCTAAACTCATTTGAAAGTCATATTTACAGAGAAAGTGCTTAGAGTTCAAGGAACAGTGGGGAGGTCTGATATTCTTAGTATTAAGAAATAAAAGAGTATATATTTGCTCAATAACTCAGGAATTTTATATAACCCAGATCAGTGTCCCTTGATACTCAGTAAGGAACTTCTTTTCACAGCCTTTGTGAAAATAGTTGCATGAACATGAAAGAAACTCTGGAAAGCTGAGTATGGCAGTCACATGTTGATGCCTGTACAAGGTCCATTCCTTCTGAAGGGGGACTTGGGGAACCACATGCAACATTGCCCACTAGCATGGTGACCCAGGAAACACGGTACTCCCATTCCCAGACCCAAGGATGACCACAAAATATAGCTGTTTAGTTAATTAGGTCACTCCTTCCTATCTCCCTTTCTCTAGTTTCTCTCCTCAAGTCACAGCTTCACGTCTCTTTTCTTTTCCTCCAAACTCACTCCCATGTTGACTTCAGTCAGTCTTGTGGCTTTAAATACCAGGCATCTACTGATGTCTCCCAAATGAATATCCACAGCACAAGCCTTTCCCTTGCACTGCACTGCCTACCAGCATGTCCACCTGCCTACTCCTGACACCTCTACTTAGTCTCACCCTTAACACATCCAAAACAAGTTCCAATCACCCACTAAACCTGCTGCTTCCCATAACCTTTTCTATCTTCAGA